ATAACTATCATAATAGTTAAAACTCATAAATAACTACAAATAACTAATGTTAGGGAAATCTGTTAATGTTTTTTTGCGCGTTTCTGAAAAAAAAAAAAAGAATATCGGCCGATATATCGGAATATCGGATTTTAAAACCAACAAATATTTGTATCGGTATCGGCTTTCAAAATCTTTTATCGGTCGGGCTCTATAGATAAACACTGTAAACAAATATGTTGGTTCAACTTTAAAAAATAAGTAATGCTGGTTGCCTTAAAATTTAATGATACAATGAAGGAGATTGATTTAATCATCAGAAACTCGAAATATTATGTTATCTGAACTACATAAATTATCTAAGTTGATTTGACAAAAGACAAAAATGTTGTGATTACAAATCATGAAAATATTTTTTTTTACAGTGAGATAGATAGATCACACTGTTATGATGTGGTTTTGTGTCTTTGTCCTTGTATTATTAGTGGTTCCCTGTCTATTGAGTTTTCCAGGTGTTTCCTATTGTCCACGCCCCCTCGTTACCTTGTTAAGTTTGCTTGTCTGATTATTTAAGCCCTGTGTTTTTGTCTTAGTTGGTGAGTTGTTGTACGTGTGAGGTCGATGTGAGTCACTCCTGTATCTGAGTCCTGTTCCTGAGCCCTGTTCTTGAGTCTGTGTTAAAATATGTAGTTTGTCTAAATAAAGCCTCTACACTGCGTTTGGATCCAGCCTCCTTCCTGTGTTTCTGCCACACCACGGTACCGGCATCACAGAACAACTCACCAACTACATGGATCTAGCAGGTAGTAGTCAGAGCTCATGGAGCAAACTTAGCTCGATCTATCAGAACAATCGCTGCATCGAGGATTATGTGGAGGAATTCCTTTTGTATAGCCATCTCGTTCCGGATGGAGAAGATGCATTGAAGGATTGTTTCTGGAGTGGTCTGGATCTGGACATTGGTTTAAATTTACCAGAGGAGGACCCCAGTTGGACCCTGGAGCAGTTCATTGATTTTTGTCCTGCAGTTTTGTGGATCTCCCTTCACTGTTGGAGAGGTAGAGAGGGATGTTATCACAACCATCAGGCCCGCTGAGCCCGCACCGCTGTTTCACGTCAGCTCAGCCGAGCACACGATTCACGTCAGCCCTGTGAGTGAGTCAAGTGAGTCAACGACCGAGTCAAGTGAGTCAACGGCCGAGTCAAGGGAGTCAAGTGTGTCCAGGTCCAAAGCAAGTGAGTCAAGTGTGTCCAGGTCCAAATCGAGTCAAGTGAGCGAATCTCCAGTGAGTGCTGAATCTCCAGTTCAAGTGAGTGAGTCTCCAGTTCAAGTGAGCGCTGAGTATCCGGTTCAAGTGAGTCACGATGAGTCTTCAGTTCATGTGATTAAGTCTTCAGTTCAAGTGAAACGCCGCCGCAGGAGGAAGAGGAGGGCTCGTTCGGTTCGCCAGGCTTCGGTGAGCATACCAGGATGCCTCACCCTGCCGGTTCCGCCTCTGCGCCTCGCCCTGCCGGCCCCGCCTCTGCGCCTCGCCCTGCCGGCCCCGCCTCTGCGCCTCGCCCTGCCGGCCCCGCCTCCGCGCCTCGCTCTGCCGGTGTCCTTCAAGCTCTGTTCAAGCTGTGCCCTTCAATTCCCTGTGGACTTCTCCAAGTATTTTTTGGGGGGGGGCAGTAGGTACCTTGTAAGGGCCATGGAGGCGATACAGACACGGCCGTGGCCGCCCGAGGGGTCTTCACCGCCGTGGCCGCCCGAGGGGTCTTCACCGCCGTGGCCGCCCGAGGGGTCTTCACCGCCGTGGCCGCCCGAGGGGTCTTCACCGCCGTGGTCTCCCGAGGGGGCTTCACCGCCGTGGCCGTCTGAGGGACCTTCACTGTTGTGGACGCCCGAGGGTCCCACAGCGTCGCCTGGTCCTGCTCCGCCCTGGCCTTCGCCTGGTCCTGCTCCGCCCTGGCCTTCGCCTGGTCCTGCTCCGCCCTGGCCTTCGCCTGGTCCTGCTCCGCCCTGGCCGTCGCCTGGTCCTGCTCCGCCCTGGCCGTCGCCTGGTCCTGCTCCGCCCTGGCCGTCGCCTGGTCCTGCTCCGCCCTGGCCGTCGCCTGGTCCTGCTCCGCCCTGGCCGTCGCCTGGTCCTGCTCCGCCCTGGCCTTCGCCTGGTCCTGCTCCGCCCTGGCCTTCGCCTGGTCCTGCTCCGCCCTGGCCTTCGCCTGGTCCTGCTCCGCCCTGGCCTTCCCCTGGTCCTGCTCCGCCCATGCTCTGCGGCCCAGGCTCGTCTTGGCTACCTCCTGGTCCCGTTCCCCTGCACGGGCCTGGCCCTCCGTCCCTCCCCCAGACCGCCTCCGCTTCACCGCCCACCTGAACTTTTTGTTGTTTTTATGGGCGTCAGGAGCCGCCCATAGGGGAGGGGCTCTGTTATGATGTGGTTTTGTGTCTTTGTCCTTGTATTATTAGTGGTTCCCTGTCTATTGAGTTTTCCAGGTGTTTCCTATTGTCCACGCCCCCTCGTTACCTTGTTAAGTTTGCTTGTCTGATTATTTAAGCCCTGTGTTTTTGTCTTAGTTGGTGAGTTGTTGTACGTGTGAGGTCGATGTGAGTCACTCCTGTATCTGAGTCCTGTTCCTGAGCCCTGTTCCTGAGTCTGTGTTAAAATATGTAGTTTGTCTAAATAAAGCCTCTACACTGCGTTTGGATCCAGCCTCCTTCCTGTGTTTCTGCCACACCACGGTACCGGCATCACACACACACACAGACACACAGGTAAACTGTCTGACAACATCCCTGTTTCATGACTTCCTTTGCCTGAGGTTATATATGCAGTCAGCACACAAATATTGTTCAGATACTGGCATTACTAGAAGCACACACAGGTGTTCAGAGTGGGAGTCTGTTTACGCCCATGAATGAGGTGTCAGCACAGTCATACGTCTGTCATAACATGTTGTCTTGGCAATGGCCTACAGTTTATGTTTGGTTACATCATATTACCATGACATTATTTTGTGAACACCACAATAAGAAAGGTCGTAATAATCTTTTACCAAAAGTTAGTCCCTAAAAGTAATATGTTACATGGTGCTATTTATCCACATGTTTTTTTTTTCTTGCCCAAACCCCTTTAATTTAATGGTAATTGGTAATTGTTTCAAAGTTAGAGCATAGTTGTGGCTTTGGATGAGGCTATGACGACTCCAGGCTTCACATTATGAGAATCCTCACGGTTGAGGTATTGAAACACGAAAAGAAATTAAACATGAAAACCAATGGGAAACCACTTTTTGTCATTTTCATTGATTTCATTAGCTCTAAGAATCATGAAACTTCTGATTTAGAAAACATGTTAGTGTTACAAGTACAGCATTAATATTCCACTCCCTATAATGTTGAAATAAGATGTCACCTTTTGAAACAGATTGGCTAATACTTAAATAAGGCTGACCAGACTATTTGCTCACTATGAATGATTAGCACTGATAAAACTAGATGTGGTGCAACTTGTTGGATCTCAGGGACAAACTGAAAATCATTGCCAAGGTTAAAAAAGGATAGGGAAAAAGATCTTACTTCAGGCCGTTCTGAAAAAAAAACACGAGGGCAGTTGCTTCTCTCACACAACAAATCAATAAACGGTATTAGAACAACTGCGCAAAAGCTTTTCAACAATTTCCAAACATCTTCCAGTAAAATTACACTGCGGTAGCTTGATTTTATTGCTACTTTGTAATGGGTTTCATCACAGTTGAGAGCTAAAGGTAATTAACACATACAGATCTGCGCCCTAAAGCAACCTGCCAATTGCTTGACAGCACTTTGAAAGCAGTGTTGCAATTGGGAATCGATGTGCTGCGTTTGTTGCTTAGCAGTCTAGTTCACACAGAGAATAAAATAAAAGATGCAGCCTTAAACTTCTGAGTACAATCAACTTGGATTTGTGAGTCATTGCAACTTAAATCACATAAAATGAGTTGGATCTTGTTGAAATTGTAAAACTAGTTGAAAATTGCCTAACTTCATTTGATGAGTTAAAGCAATGTGAAAAGAAATGTTGTCATAACTTATTGATCATATTATTTTTTACAGTGCGGAACAATCTCTGATAAGCAGGAATTGAAATTCTTCGCATAAACCAAATCCCATTGTTCTCTTCAATGGCTCAGAGCTCTGAAACGGAACCATGACTATTTTTGTCTCAATTTGAATTTGATTTGCGACACACGGGGGTTTTCAGTTTCAGAACTGAAAAAAAAGTCGACTGGATTTCTAGAGAGTAAAACTGGCTGAGAAATTAAGTTCTAAATTAAGTAAGATTAGGGTTCATTGCCTGGGTGACTAAAAGTAAAAGTGTCTGAGAGACACTGAATATGAGCTCTGGAAGGCCAATACATTTATAAAGTGACATTGAACTTTACTTTTAGATTAAAGGTTCAAAAAGGGGGTTTTGACAGCCCATTTTTGGTACCCCAAAGAACCTTTCAGTCAACAGTTCTAAAAAGAAAAAAAACATGAAAATCAAAAAAATGTTAAGAACCTGTTTCCAATATAAAGAACCTTTTTTGTGGAATGGAAATATTCCATGTATGTTAAATGTTGGAACCATCAATGCCAATAAATAACCTTTATTTCTAAGAGTGTTCAAGTGAATCTTTTGAGCTCGAAATGCAATTGTCATTAGAGTAGGCTACACTAGTAGCTTGCTCATGAATCTCTTCAAGATTTTTTTTTTTTGAAATTTGGACATCCGTGTAAAAAGAATGAGCATTATCACTTTAATGTCTACTTCATAACATCATCATGCTGATGTTACAACAATCCCATAACATGATGGATTTACAGGTCTTCCCAAGATCAAGTTGACACTTTTTCTTAAGCACAAGATTGTTAAGAATCAATTAAACAGTATAAAATAAGCAGCATGTGTGTCATAACAACTCCACATATGTTTATCATATATGCCACATAGGAAGAATGTACACCATCAAATAACTAGTAGACCGGCGCGCAAAACAACACGAACTGAGCTCAAACTCACCTTGTCGCTGGACAAGCAGACAGCGGCGGAAAGTGTCAGGAATATCCAAATGTTCCTCATTATTCCCCTTAAAGAAGTCTTTTGGAAAGAATTCGCTGATGGCACTCGTCTGCGCTCCTTAAACCACTTGCTCTCTTCGTTCTCTTGTACGGTTTAACCTAAAACACAAACGCAAGATCCTTTTCGAGAGATGTTTGGCGTTTTGATCCACCTGATCAAACTTCTCTTTTGCCTTTCCAAACGGGAACTACTGAGAGTGTCTTGTTGTCTTGTTGATGTCTCGGGTCCATGTGAGGCAGCACGGCTCTGCTCGGATAGAGGATGTGAGAGAGAGAGAGAAAGAGAGAGGGGGGGGGGGTTAGGGGGATGTCACACGCTTGACTAATAGGACTTGGACCAGACTAGGCTACATATTGTCTGAGCATCATTTTGTCGTAATTTCCCGCAAAAAACGTGTCTGTGTACAGCTCATTCATGGGATTTGAGACTGACTTCAGCAAAATGAACGGCAAAATTAACTATAACTAGCTTAAAAATGATATGACAAGTTGGTAGCTGTTGTTGCTGGAGTAGGAGGCTTTACCAGGTTCATTTGTCCGAGACAATATGCCCCTCTGCTAATTCTGTTGTAATAAAAATAAACTGAAAACTATTAAGTTTAACTTTAACGTTGTACAGCCTTATTGAAAAAAATCAATTTTTTGCCTTTTTAATTACTAAGATATGTTAATAACTAAAAGTAAATAACTTATATTGGGGCCACGTTTATGTATCAGTGAGCCCTGGTCCAGTGCTTTAAAACAACTAGGAACCATGACCAGATTGCATAAATGTAAATAAATAGTGTAAATCAAATAACTGTAAATGAAAATTTCAATTACAAAGCCATTACAGGCAGTGCTACAAGTTTAATCAAATCAAATGTACAGCTTATCATAGTTATTATTGTTCTGTTTATTTGCTTGTAACAGCTGTTGCTGTAATCACATGATAATCAGCCACCAAAGTCATTATCAAAGATAAGGTCACAGATTCTGAAATCTTCTCTTAGGAGATCCTAAATTAGTAATGTTTTACAGAGTACTAACAATAACAGTCCAATTGTATTTTAACTCAAACTATGGTTGTTGTTTTAACTATTGACATGGGTGTAAGTAATGCATCATTAAGTCATTAATTACTTTAAATAAAAAGAGATCACTCTTAATTTTCTGTAATTTAAAGGGTTAGTTTGTCCCATAATTTACTCACCCTCAAGCCAGGTGTATTTAACTTTATCTTTCAGCCAAACACAATGTGAGTTATATTAAAATATCCTGGATCTTCCAAACTTTATAATGGGAGTGAAAAGTAGGTCTAACTTAGATTTTGAAGCACATCCAAAAAAGCACATCCATCTATCATAAAGGCAATCCATACAGCTCCAGGGCCGTCTTAAAGGTGCTATATGTAACTTTTCTTCTAAAATAAATCCTTTTTTATTGCCTGTGTGTGAAGGGGTTGTAATCACACATTACAATGATCCACTTGTCAGGTTTTTCTACCTCTGAACGCCAGTATTTCTTTTTGAAGTCTCTCCGGGTCGGATTTTCTGCGAAATCCATCGGATGTGACTTGCATGCGCGCTCCCGAGCCTCTCTCCTTTTTATATACGGTCAATGCGACGACGGCACTGCAGCTGACGACATGCAGTCTGATAACACCAAAAAACTCCTGTCTCCAGCACAACACACACTCCAACACAAACTCCACAGAAATGTAACAATAAAAAAAATCTATCTGCTGAAGCTCGTCAGGCAAAACGTGAATCTGATCGACTTAGGACGAAAACACGGATCAACATCGGCAGAGCGTTTGAATTATGGAGATAGATAATACCACAAATGTAATGTTATCATTGTACGAGCATGGAGCATTAGTTCAACGTCAAGCTGCAGTGGGAGTTTACATGAGTTTCCAGCATGTTGTGAGATGCTTTCTCCAGTGTGTTGCAGCATGAGAGCGCTTGTAAAAAATGGTTGCAATCTGAAACATCACAGATAGAGGTCGCTAAAAAATACATATAGCACCTTTAAATGAAGCAATGCATTGTTGTAAAAAAATAAAATAAAAAATAAAAACTCCATATTTATAACTTTACAAACTATAATCACTGGATTCCGGTAACAGCCGTACGCAAGCCGAGTTCCAGCCGAAGAGTGAACTCTGATTGTTAAAATGTGTTTTTAATGAAACCTTGGTCAGTTCATGAATCATTTATGGAATTTGATATTTATATGAAATGATTAAAAAGAGCAGTTTCATGTCTATCCTTGTTTTTTTGTCTATTAAATTGGTCAAGGTTAATGTGGGATTTAGAACATAAATTGTAGTAAGTGAAGCAGTACCTAGAGAGTAATTAGTCAAGAAGTCTGCATGGCTAAATATGTTATTAGCTAGATGCTAACTCGATTCTTTTTAGAGTAACTTACCCAACATTGATTATTTCTAAGAAAATGTAATAATATACTTTTAGAACACGTTTCATCTTTTACTGTAGATTGTATTATTTTCAGAATGATGAAACCATTTTAATTAGTAAGATAATGTTTGTTCGTAATGTGAATATCACCATCTGGGACATTCAACCTATCTAAGCGAACATTTTCTGAGTGGGACTTTGTCTCCCCCTGCTGTTCTGCTCTATATAAGCACACATAACACAAGCACACTTTAGAATACATAATGCATTATACACTGCTTTTATTGAGCGCTTTTATGCAAATAGAGGTTCAGAGCATTTTAATTAAAAATCAAAATTTGAATAATGTATACATGAGGGCTTTAGTGCTGCATCAACATCAGATTTTTTATTCTAAATCCCTAAAATAAAAAAACACACAACAAATACAAGTTTTTAATATTTTATTATAGTTATATATTCATAAACATCTGTTTTTTTAAAGGGTAACGAGGGAATCTGAGTAAGTGGCAGATAATTTTGCTCATGAAAGTATGTCAGACACTTTACAGTCTATAAAAGATATCGGATCATTATGCCGTTAAAATATTCACAACAATAAATAGAGAGATTATCCCCAAATAAACTGCAAGACAAAATGTCACGTATTGCAGGATAAAAACTGTCTACATGACACCACATAGGACCTGAATAGTTAAATGTGATTTTAAATTAGACTGAGGTGAGCGAGGTGAAATGCATTGGGGGATATAGAGAAGATATCGAAAGCGCAGCAGTCACACTATCATCTAATTCCAGGTTTAACGTCTGTTCCTTTTAAGGTGCCAATATGGTTTTTCCTCCAAACAGGGGGAATCTGTCAAAAGACAAAAAAAAAAGTTACAATCATCACTATAAAGTTGTAGAGCTGTTGCAAAGTAAACATGGAGTGTTGTGTTACGCACAGGAGGTGGAGAGCTGGGTTCTAAGTGTCGGCCCAGGAAAGAGAGAAGTCTTCTCCAGATTAGTCCACTGCCCAGGAACATCAACCCGGTCACTAACCAAAACACACGTGGGTCCTACACACACACATCAGTGTGGGTCGATAAACATGTTCTCAGTCAGACAGATCTCAGCCTCAGACACTAATATAAAGGCACACAAACGTCGTCTTCTTCTGACTCTTTAAAAAGTGTCCAAGAGTTTTACAAGTCGGCTTGTTAACGAAGGGACCTCAACTTCACATTTACACATGATTGGTTGCTTCATATTTGTCAGTCAGACGGCCTCTAGTCTAGACGGTCCTTGGACAATGAAAGCGGTTATGGAGTCTGAAGGTCTGGCAATGTGAGACTTTGAGAAGTAAAACGGTAGACGGCAATAAAACGGTAAACTGAAGAAAACCGGTACCAACCTCTTCAAAGGAAGATTCTAAATTCATTCCAAAAGCCACACCCATCAGACCAAATAAGGAGAGGGAGAAGGTTCCCATGGTGAGCTGGAGGTTCAGGCGCATCATGACATTCCGATGGCTAAAGGCAAGACACCGCAGGTGAATATGGTAACTAATCGGGATCATCATCCTTCTCCCTGTATGGCAAGCCGTTTGAACTTTTATTCATTTCCAGGATATGAATTCTTGATATCAACAATTAAATTCTTGATATCAGCAATTACATTTTTGATATCAAAAATTGAATTCTTAATATCAACAATTGTATTTTTCACTAGTGAAATGTCACCATAGGCTGCCATTCAAAAGCAATTGTTGATATCAAGAATTGATTTCTTACTAGTTGAAATTCCAATTTCACATGTCTGAAATACAATTATTACTAGTAAAAACCTTTATTTTTGATATGAAGAATTCAATTGTTACTAGTTGAAATGTCTATTCTTGATATCCACAATTGCTACTAGTAACAATGGTTATTTTTGATCTCAATAATTCAATTTTTAGTACTGACAATGTTAATTTCTGATATCATGAATGAGATTGTTACTAGTAAGAAAGCCATTTTAGATATCTGAAATAATATTGATATCAGAAATATATTTTCAGATATCAAGAATGATCATTTTTACTAGTACCAATTGAATTGTTGATATCAAGAATATACATTTCAACTAGTGACAATTTGATAATTGATATGAGGAATTCACATTTTTACTAATAACAATGTAATTATTGGTATCAAAAATGATATTTCTACTAGTAAAAAATAAATTATTGATATCAAAAATTTATTTTGAATGGCAGCCTATGGTGAAATTTCACTAGTGAAAATACAATTACAGATATCAGCAATTCAATTGTGGATATCAAAAAAAGTAATTGTTGATAATATCAAGGAAATTGTTGATATCAAGAATTCATATCCTGGAAATTAATAAAAGCTAAAACAGCTTGCCATACTCCCTGGTGATTAATCACAGTACATTAAAACAAATGATTTGTATTGCAAATTTTTAAAATGTTATGATTAAATATGCAAAGAAGACAATGGGCCCTATTTTAATTATTTGAAATGCAAGTATCAAGCGCGAAGCGCAAGTAACTTTGTGGGCAGGTCTTGGGCGCTGTTGATATTTTATCGGCGGGATAAAGGACTCTTTCGCACGTTTTTCACAAGTTTAAAAGGGGTTGGTCTGAAATAGCTTCCTTATTCATAGGTGTGGTTTGGGCGTAACGTGAAATAAACCAATCAGAGCATCACCCAACATACCCTTTAAGAGCAGGTGCGCATGTTGCATGACGGATTATTATTATTATGGCAAATTTTCCAGGTGATTTCGCAGTCTTCAGACTTTTTCTTGATGGACAAACTAATTTGTCAGATGTTCATATATAAATATTTGTCTTGCCACT